TGAATTTCGGATTAGATAAGATAGTGCAAACAAACTTAGTATAACGGTTAAGGAAGGGTGCTGAATAATATTTATAATTATATTCACTATTCACACGTAGGTTAGGGTGATGAAGTTCCTATACTGAAGTTTCCCATGATAAGGTGAGGAGACCTTACTATACCATTAATTTTCGATGAGTCTTGTTTCCAAAAAGGTATTCTTGCCCAGCGTAGACTTAATTTCCGACCAAGCCTCATTTTCTTCAGCACCCAATTCGGGGCTCGAACCCGACTGATGCAGTGTTCATTTTCGACATTTTACCACTACGCCACACTGCCACGAATGAGAATGACTTTTGAAAAGCAAGCCTGAGTGAAATTCACTGGCATCCGGACTCATACGTATCGCATTTTTGGAAAAGTCACCACGACTCCTTCATTACCCTAAGCGAAATAAACATTTTATTGAATTTTAATGCTTGCCATTTCTATCTAAGCTTAGCCTTGAATTTGACTCAATTTCATCTCTGAACCCTTCCAGGAGAATTCAAGCTCCAAATATAAAACTTCTTCAAATTAGAAAAGACATTACAGAGTCATCGAGCTTAGGATACAAACACCGTAAAGCTCACAAATAGTTTGAAGAGATATCAACGCAAGCTACAAGGTGTCTAAATAGTACAATAAGAACGATAGTCCTCTTAGGATGCCTCCAGAGAAAAATGAACGAGTGCTTTCAGGCGATGATCGAATGAGAGGAATAAATGAGACTGTTTAGCTGTCGTGAATACTCCTGAACCGGGAGGTTTAGTCTGTAACAAAAAAGGTTAACTGGCAATAGACCAAAAAATAAATAGAAACGAAAAATCGGAATATACCTTGGCTTGCTTTGGATGATGAAAGAAATAAAGATTGAGCTCTCAGCTTGTCGTTAAATTCCACTTAGTTCTGAAATGCAATTATAGTCAGAATTTTTTGAATTTTTTTGAATTATCTTTTTGGTACACTTAAACCAAGAACACTATATCTCTGAAGGTTAAGAGAATTAGATTTTTAAAAATTTGTATTATCATAAGGTTATTCTCAGGCGTTGCAATCTACCGATGTCCACCAATAAAGAATTTGATCAGGTATCGCCTGGTTTGGTTAAAACTAGACTCAAGGAAAGCATCAACAAACTACATGAACTAATTATAATCAAAACTTGGCTTAGAAAATCACTTTTTAAAATATTAAATCATGTAGATTTCCTTAAATTACAAGGTATCGCTGGCGCGTTAGAAGAGGCGACAGACAATCCTACACGTCGGATACAAGATAAGAGCTTTAGAATTTAGGAATTAGAATTAGGTCGAGAAACTTTGCGCCTAACGTAAGTCGTACCTACCATGGTTGTTTCAAAGTGGGGAAGGATAAGGTAATCTATTCATCAAGTACAACTCTGGAGGATAGTGTAGTACTTGTATTGGAAAGAGGAGTGAATTTTGCTCTTTCAAATGTGGTAAACCATTCTCTAGAAATATTTGTTGAATTAATTAGCTTATCTGATAAATTGAGGTAAGTAATAGTATTGAACTAGAGGTGATCCCTCATTTTTACCATATAATACCGCCAAAGAAAGATTGCCATCTTAGTAGGGTTTCTAGCTATCTCTGTGATAGTAATCTAATCGTAATGAAGGCAGACAAAAGTGGATCAGTGGTAGTCATGGGTAAGTCAAGTTATGTTGAAAAAGTGCTAGTTCATTTAAATGACAATGACACGTATAGGCCTTTACTGAGAGATCTAATAGGAAGACTTAAGACTAGGCTAAAGGATGCCCGTGAGGTATGCGCAAGTAATGGTGAAATGGAGAAGTGGAAAATGAATTCACTACTCCAAAGAGATGCAACTGCCCCCACAGCTTATGATCTACATAAGGTGCACAAGGAGGGTGTCCCTCTAAGATTAATTGTAAGTAATAAAGGGAGCGTAATGCATATGATCTCACGTTGTTTATACATACAACTAAGGAACTTTGCCCATTTTTCGCTATATTTAATTAAAAATTCGTATGATTTTGTGAAATTAATTGAGAGCAGACACTTTCAGAAGAAGATAGGCTAGTAAGTTTTGCTGTTGTGTCTATGTACACAAACATTCCTGTTTAAGAAGCTATTCAACCACATATTTTACTTTTGACGGTAAGTTATACGAAACAAGACAAGGACTAGCGATGGGATCCTGCCTGGCTCCCATCTTGGCGAACAATTATGTGGCAAGACTGTAGGAACACTTCATGTAAGAGGCAATACTAACCCACAAATTGTTGGTTAGATACATGGATGGCTATTTTGTTATCTGGCCTCATGGTAATGAAAGTTTAGAAAGTTTCCCACTTTCACTCACCCAGCGTGAAAGGAAGATTAGATTCACAATGGAAATGAAAGTGAACAAGTCCTTACCTTTTCAGGATGTTCTCATCCTTAGAGAAGATGGTAAGTTAGGTGAGTTAGCTGTTTATGTGAAGCCAACACATGTTGGCTCTTTTCTTAATTTTCTTTCCAACCATAGTTACAAAACTAAGTTTAGAAATTTCAAGTCAATGCTGATGAGGCTATCGGATAGCAAACATTTGACCAAAGAGCTAGAACGGCTTACAAATTTATTCCTGGAAAATAATTATTATTTGAGCATTATTGGGAATAATCTCTTTACTGAGGAGTAAGTTTTAGACGGAACCCATTTAGTCAAAGATATACAAGTTGAGACCTTTTCTCATGTCCTGATTTTGCCGTCATGCCTTCTCTCAAAAATGATTAGTAAGAAAGGGGGGGATAAAAACGGTGTTCAAAGAAACCCTCACACCTTCTTCTGCTATGCCGTCTTTTAAAGCGAAATATGACCCATTCTCGAGATCCGGCTGCTACAAGATTGTTTGCTCCTTTGGTCGATCTTATGTTGGTGAGACTTGTCGACCTCTTCGAAAGAGATTGGGAGAACACAAAAATGTTCGTAAAGTAAGCTGGGTCGAACCGTGAGAAGTGGCCGAACACATGGCAGAAACTGGACATGAAATAAAACGGTCTTAAACTAGTCGGTTTGCTGATTATGGTACGTCTGTGATTAAAAGAAGGATAAGAGAGGCTATTCAAATGAATAGCTTGGAAAATAAGTTGAATGTGAGGAACGGTGGTAGAAAGTTGAGTAGGAATTACTTAAACTTGATTGGTAGATTTAAAGTAGAGAGCTGTTCAACCGCCATCCAAAAGAAAGTGACGAAAATAAAGATAATTAGCAAAAGCATTCTATATTTTTCTGTTTTTCTATTGTCCTTTGCTTAAATGAGACTATATAAGAGGTAAGATAGAGCCGGATAGTATTCTTGTCTTATAGTTAACCAGAGAGTTTTACAAGAATGAGCCTTAGCTCTGATGATGTCCATCATATGATGGACAGATGCTCAACCCGTTTTCATCTAAAAAGAGGGAGGTCTCGTGGGCTGCATCAATCTCAATGTGGTATAAAAGCCAAACGGCTGCACTACAACGAGATCGACCGTCGAATATCTTATTCATACACTTTCACACGAAATAAAGGTCCCAACAATACCCACTTAGTGAACACCGATAGAATCGAAACCTACTCAATTAATATCTACTTTTCTCATTCTCAACTTTACTGAGCTTCAATATTGGGGCTCTTTTTACTTCCGCATCAGCTTCACTCTGTCTTTGTCAGTCGACCTTCACAGGGTTTTTCAGTTGCAGCCTTTGTTTCTAAGTTTAGCAGCACTTAAAACAACCAATGGTCTTAATAATTGCACTTATTTAGTCTTTACTCAGAAGACCCATTTATCTAAACTATATACCGACTGGGTCCGTCTACCAATTAGCCCTTCAGAGGTTGTGCTATTTATCACCCGGGGGGCCTTTTAGTATCCATTCATGCCTGCACACAATCTGCACCCATCTGCCTTTAAATCAGGAGAAAGCATTCAGCCCCAGACAAACTTGTTGTATAATATTACCCTCTCTGATAATTACCTTAAGGACAGCATCAAGAAGAGCCTGGCTTTGAGATACATCACCCTTAAAAGTGGAGGTTGTTATGCTATATTTAGCACCAAAACAGTGTTCCGAACATTAAAAGCCTTGTGACGACATGATTTTGTGATAAAGTCGACAGGTTGTTGGAGCTAAAAATGAATTCCATTATAAACGAAGTATCCTAGTAGTCGCCACGACTGTTTATTATACTAATATGGGCTCAAAACTGAGCCTAATCATTATTTTTAATCAGCCTTAATTAGTTTAATGTACACAATGGCCAATATGCTACGGTTAACTAATACGTTGAGTTAACGTTGCAATCATGCCACAGCTTCTTTCATTATTATCACAAGTAGAGCGGATTACGTTAACATAAACTTTATAACAGGCTAGCAGTTGGATAACAAAAAATTAATAAAAATTAATAAGGTAAACAATAATATGAACAAGATAAAAATCTCAGTCCTGGTTGGCTCATTTGTAAGAATGATGTTATAAACGTAGGAAAAGTGTATATGGAAAAGACTTTCGCTCAGCGATAGTGTAGTGCTAATGCGTGTCTAATGCTAATTAGGTGATTCATCTTCTAATTATGCTGGCCATTACGCAATCGAAAGTTTCTAACAGGTCGGAGAAAAAGTAAGAAACTGTACAATATCAAAATGCTTACGCGTCGAGCCGAATAGCCTTTTTGTGTTCCTGCTCGGATTTCTCTGGATCCTTTAAGCCGGAATAGGTCAACGCTAACATGTCATGTAGTGCGGCAAGTTCATGCTCTCTACCCATCGACAAATCGCCATCTGCTTTGGCATCATTTTCCGCCAGAGAGGGGCCAGTCAGCACTCCACCGATTGTTTCTACCAATTCAGTAATTGCATGTGCCTGGCGGGTCCGAGAATAGTAGCGAATAGCGGTTGTGAGAAAATGAAAAGCGCTGGCTAGTTGATCTATTTTCAGGTATACCAGACCCAAATTCGCAGCGATCCTCCAATCAAGTGGAAACAAGTAGGCAGCTCGTTTTAGACAACTGATCGCCTATGATAATGCGAGATATAATAAAAGCCAAATAACATTTTCCTGTCATGGTAAGGTAAATGCTTCTAAATTTCAGCCCACCATATTTTGAGCTTCAAAGAGTCATCATTTAAATAAAACCACATTATAGCAACAGCCCGGGATAATAAAGTGGAAATAATACTTAAAATATGTCACATAACATGATTATATTAGTTATTTATTGTATTATTTGTATGCGATATAAATAGTATAGCATAGTTCAGTGACAGCTACTCTTATAGCAGATCTTAACTTTGACTCTTTCCTTATCCAGTTAGTGTCCATGTCTTCGAAGACAAAGAGCTAAATTGATTTTAAAAAGTACAGAATGGATCTGCTTTATTCTAAAGGGGATTGTGCTATCAAAAATATGCAAAATAATTA